CGAGTCTTGGACCATCCGAGCTGTCCAGGGGGGTCAATGATGTGGGAGGTACAGGCTGAGGTACCTATATAGGAACTTGAAGTTGAAGGAGAGATTCCAATTACATAACGTAGATTCAGGACGCTGGTATCTCTTTCGTTCTCATGCTCTGCATTAGATATGAAAGCTTTGCGAATCGCAGGGGGTCAACATGTTCCTAAGGGCCCAAAGAACCAGGTGCTGAATTCAGTTTGCAGACAGACACTCAACAACGTGCAAGAGACCTCCGCTTGGAGATAGCGAACCAGGAAGTGGCTTGAATTCAATGATGAGGACACCCAACGGAAGGAAACTGCTGCAAGCTTCCTTCAGCCAATGCAGAGTCCTTGAAACCCTCTTGCTATTTGAGGAGCAACAGACCTGAAGTGCCTTGGTGCGCAACCAGCTGACTGAGCAGAACACCTGTGGGGCCACTGCTTGCGTCAGCTGTGCTTGTAGGTCCATGCCGGAGCGCATCGCGTGGCGGCGAGGGCTGGTCATGCCTGGGGGCAAGTATGTTAATGGCAGGCAGGATGCACAGCGTTGGGTGCACAGCGTTGGGCGGAGAAGAATGTGCAATGACAAGAGGCAGGTGCGTGCTGGCTAAGAATATCTTTTGCACTCTTTGGTGGGATCCATGTCTGTTGCATTCTTTGAAGGGAGTTTTAAATAAAGCGAGGGACATCAAATTGAAGTGGAACCCGTGCTTGAAATGTTGAAAAGGCAGAAGCGGAAGCCATGCAGACGGTCCCAGGGGGATTTGTCTTCAGAGAGGGTTTTCTCTGCCCAGAGTCATGCTATCCACCAGAAAGCTGAGGGTCATGGGCAACACCCTGGTCTGGGCGGAAGCAACAAAAGCAGAAGACGAAATTCCGATGTCTGCTTATTGTACACACACGCAAGAACATTCATTTTTAAACCCATCCAGGCTGATCAAGGCAAAGCCCTGGAAGCCCTGATCGCAGGCATCCAGTCAATGCACGACGCATTTTGGACCGGGTATATGCCCGGGATTGGCGTGAGGGGCCCAGCGGAGCACCCAGCTTAGGATGCGCCCTGGAATGTATCACAGGGTGAAAAGAGTCTCACAAGAACCGGGTTGGGCACATATCATCGCCGGTGCGTATCTCATCCTTATTGGACGGTTTTGATTTGCAGTCGGAGAATTGCAAGGCATGTCGGGGGCGGGGGCTGAGAGTCATGGGAGAGTTGCAAGGACAGTCTCGATGTCTGTGCAGTTCCATCCTGTATAGCTGGGCGAGTAGCAAAAGTAAGAGGCCTTACTTTGTCAAGTTGAAAGCTCACATGTTCTGAGTTGTGCAAGTCGCTTAATGAGTGTGGGCTCAATTGCTGCTGTAAAAGATTATGGGTAATCCTTGACCGATAAATCTCAAGATTGATCCTGGTTCCAAACTTCCTGGCTGGAGGCCTTTCTTTTGTGTTTCCCAATGTAGCAGCCGACCATATTCTCTACTGTATGAGGCTATTAGGTAGTCAGGGAAGGGTCCTCACGATTTGTGGCTGCGTCTTTCTAAAGTTGACATTGTGAAGACCTGGACGCTTCTTTGGGCGCACGCAAAGAAGAACCGGAAGCGAACCCTGTAGGTCGGTTTACGAGCTCCGCACAAAATACTCTTGAAACCTTGCATTGTGACAGTCTCAAGTAGCCCTCTTTTGCAACCATCCGTTTGTATCAGTGACGATGTGCACGGGAGTCTCGGAATTTAGGCTGGATGAGTCTTGTGCTCTTTGCTGCCCGATCTTTTAGGTGGTTGACAAAGCCTCAGAGGACCGGCAGTTGGTCAGCTTAGTTCATCAGCCCACTCCCCCATCCTATCCAGCGGCATCGTAGCCACGCCCACAACGAACCAAGCAGAGTCATCTGCCCGCAATTGAATGCCAGGAGTCCTTCGGATTACAAAGTCTCATTCTCGGCTTTGCAGAGTGGGGGCAACCCCCTGGCTGGAGCTCGTCGCTGATGACGTCATCGGACAGGTCCTGGCCCCCGTCCGATGCTGACGTCAGCGCCGGAAGCGAAATCCGCCTGCGGGTGGAAAATTATACGTGGCGCGAGCGGGTGTGACGTCTCGGCGGTCGCAACAGAACAGCTGCAATTAGGTACGCCTTCTTCTCACGTCAGGATGCAATGTCAGGTATTCCGCTTAATGTAGGGAAAATTTCGAAGACGAGTCCGTTTTTCCGCGGCCTTGTTCTGGTGGGCGTCATGAAACAGATTCGACAACCCAGTGATCGAGAGCCGCGTCTTTGGTCTTTAAAGAGCCGTCGACTCTGGAGCGACACATGTCATACACTTGTTCTGTTGTGTGCCGCTGCAAACCATCAGAAGCAGACGCTTCTCAAAACTCTTGCTCAATTAAACATCGAAGTTGGCTGTCTACGGCTGGGCTTCAGCTGGAAAAAATCGTTGGTTCCCTGCTCAAGGACGTGTTCACGCTTGCGCGCTCGAGGCCGTCACCCGCTGTGCCGGCCGCGTACCCTAGTAGGCCACAAATACTGCCCCGCTGTCCGAGGTAGCGCTGTGCGCGAAACGACCCTGAAGTGCTTTCGCGGATCATCCTGCGAGAGTCGTCTGAATGCGCCTGCGAGCGCGGGGTTTGGCGCCAACGCCGGATGCGACAGCGGTCGCAGTCGCCGTTCATGACAGAGGTATGCCAGCCGATCGGAGCGGGAACCGTCCAAGTCTGTGTCTTCGACTCGCTCCCGATGCAGACATGCATTCAATCAGGAGGCTTAAGGATAAGCTCCAAAGGGGCCTCGAGGTGACCACCTCTTTTCCTGATTCGCTAAGCCGCTCCTGCCAACTTTTCCCCGTTCTTGATTTGGAAAAGAGCTGCTATCAAAGCGCGAGACATGCAAACTCCTAAGAAAGCTCGAAGCGAGCTGTATAAGAGAAGTCGTCTCCGGGACCAAGATCGAGCGAAGTCCTGTTCAAGAACTCAATCGCCACAAGCCTGTCTCAGTTACTCCAGAGTTCAAGTGCCTTTCGGTCGTCACAAGAAGTGAGAGGCCTTTAGACCCAAAGTAGCGCTTGGTCGGTGCTTGCGACTTTGACGTGGTATCTTGGTTGATTTTTGCAATCTCTCAAACTCCGTCTTTGTAGAAGACGTTTTGGCCATCGACATTCCCTGGGAAAGGAGGATGGCAAGCACGAAAGGACTTGAAGGGATCTTCAGGGCAGGACCAGTGGATAATGTGACCCTCCCGCATTCATCATACGGTGTGCTCCCCACCGCTCACGAGCATTGATCTGACGCTCGCTTTCTATGTCCACGTGGCCGACTGTCATCCGGGCTCGGAGAATCATACGGAAGGCTTCAGAAAGGGAGCGGTTCCTGGCGCGGTTTCTGCGTCTACTGGTGCCTGCTGAGCCGGCGGGGGTTGCGGGTGGCCAGACTTTTGGATTGGGAAGCTCCTTTGAGCCATGCAATGATGACAGCGTCAGAGTGCCGACACATTGACAGTAGCTTCGAGGGAGCACTCTTTAGTTGCCGCTTCTGGACTCGAGCGACTTGATTGGCTCATCTGTTAAGAATACACGGAGATTGTGTACTATGATATATTGTGAGCGATTTAATTGGCTCGTCAAAACTTGGAATACACGGAGATTGTATACATTCAGACCTTTGACCTGAGAATCTGCCATTGAAGCTGAGCGTCAGACCAAGTTTGAAGTTTAGATTCATATGGGCATGCATGCATGCTCCCCTGATTCACCGTATGTGGTTTCATCATATTGACAGCTGCAGTGCCATACAGCCGCCCACAGCATGCCGCCGGCGGTTGCACGCATGAAGTGACAGATGCATGTCTCCCGCGCGGGGTGCGAACGCAACATGGTGGCGGCGGCGCGGCCCGTGCTTGCATGACAAATCAAGCCAATAAGTCATTGATGATCTTGACAATTTTCGTTGGCTGGCACGATCATGGCATGATACGAGCGTGATTTTTGCGCTAGGCTAGATGCCACGCGCAAGTAAACTTGAAATGAAAGTCGAATGGCGATTTTTTGTGGCTCAGCTTGTCTCGGGCGAAACACGTCCTGATCGGAAGCACGCAAGAGAGAAGGGATGAGTAGTCCCGAAAATAGAACAGCTTCCGACAGTGACGTTCATCTCTCCTGGTTGTAACGAGGGCCCTAGCTTTTGTGACCCCGGGCATGTAGAACGGTGACATTCTCCGTGTCTCTTTCCGCGACTCGGGTTGCTCTATTACATCATTTGTGCTTGAAGCTCGCGCACAATCCGAAGACGAAAGAGGGAGCGAGAGGGTAGCGAGGTCTGGCTGCTTACCATCGAAATCACAAAGCTTGTGTCGCTTTTGAGCGCACACTGATAGAATTTGACTCAATCAGATTCCAGAGAAGTTCTCAGGAGTTGATTAGATGGAACCCCATTCGTTCGCCTGTCCAAGCACTCCGTCACCACCCCCCGACGTTCCGCCGCCGCAGGGTAATCGATGCAGGTCGATGAAAAGCACGTACTGCCGCCAAGGATCGCGAATAGGCAGCTGAGGCTCTGCCTGGGATACTTGGACGTATTTTCAAAAGGTATCATGTGCCGCAACCCTGGTCATGCCGAATCGCTCGAAAAAGAAGGGCCGCGTCTCGAAGCACTAGAGTGGGCTTGCAGGTGCCTCTGGCTATCATATACGTGTTCAAGTTTTGCACCATTCTAATTGGGTGTCCCGTCTCTTGAACACACTGATAGGCATACAGCAGTTTGGATGACAAGGTTGTACTGGAACCGTCACCGCAATCCAGCAAATAGACGCCTTGGGGCGTTGGAGATGACATCTGCAATTGGTCTGCTAATGAAATGGATCCGACTAAGCGCCTTCTGTTTCTGGGCGTTGCCGACTACCCGGTGATCTGCCGAGCCGTGTTTGCGCGGCCGCCGCGTCCTGGCCGACCGTCAGATTTTGCTTGCCCTCCTCAGAGCCCTTGGATCTGACACGTGGCGTCTTCGGACGGCTGGAAAGGCTGGTTACATCGGTGGCCCACAAAGTCGGTTCTGGAGGTTAAGCAGCCTTTATATACCCAAACTCAGCCCAGCACAGCAACGCCACAAGCGTTTACTGATAAGGGGGAAGCCCCTTCCGGGCTGCCGCCCGGCCAGGCTGCCGCCTGGGAACACGCGCTGCGGGTGATGACGATCATCATTAGCGCGTGTTGAAATATGCTCCAGCATATTTTGCATCTTTTGCTGCTGACCATAGCAGGAAAAACGTTGCTTGGACACGACAATTCCGGCCTTGTTCATGTCAGGAATTGTGTGCTTATCATTCTGCATCGCTTATAAGGAAACATAAAAAGAATTTGACATGCTGACTTGTGCCAGGGGTCCAGCTTGTTGCTCTTTGATACTGGAAATTTCGAATGAACAAACGCACATTAGGGCGATCAAAACTGGGCCACACATATCGTGGGCTTCGGTAGAAGCAGCTCGTCTTCGAGCACGAATGCAGACAGCTGTCGAGGTTTTGTTCAAAGCTACCAAGCTTTGGGGGTAATCAAGGCTCAAGCGCTTTCATTTGCAGGGCTTGAAATAACCATCCTCACATATGAGCGAGGGTTTGTTACGCGCTTCTATATGGTGTCCAGCTGAGCTCAGTTCATCAGATGCAACGTATCTCCTACCTCAGGATCGGTGCTGCTTCGAGGATTCATGTATGAGGATGCTAAATTGGTCTACTTTAAGAGACCCGCCCTTCTAAATTGGTATAAGGAAAAGGTAAAGAAGCAAAAATGCTGGGGGTAATCGTGATCACCCGCAGTATTTTGAGCATACGCCAATGGTGATCGTCATCGCCCGGGGCCGCGGCGTATGCTCCCAGGCGCAGCCCGGAAGGGGCACCCCCTTATCAGCAGGGCGCAGCCCTTAACGCCTCTAGCGTTGCAAGCTATCGCTATGTTTGGGTATATAAAGGCGCCCAATAATCGTAGGGCATCCTTGTGGGCCGCCTGCAAGAAAGGCGGGTCTTGCCGTCAGATGGTGCCACGTGGCAGATCTGACGGCTCCGAGAAACGCCCCTCAGTTTTCGCAATCGCAGCGCCGCGAAAACGAAACCATGCTAATTTTCGACAGGCACGCAGCACAACCGAGTCAGGCACTCATGCAAGGGAATAGGAGCATTTTGAGTCCGTATTCTGACAGCGAGCAATTGAGATTCTTCCCTTCGCGTTTGCATATGCATGAGCAGGCGGTCACACCAATCAAGCCTCCCTTCCTTTTCCTGGTGTGCGCCGTGAATTACTGCAAGTGGAAAAAAGGTACAAAGCCAGAGCTCGTGCTCTATTCAGAAGTCTCAGGCAGGATTCTCAAGCAGGGATACGTGATTTTCAGACTGGCAAATTATCTGCTGATTGATGCACGTCATGAAAAGCGGATCCTGTGAAAAACCTATTCTTTGGATCTGAGAATCGTTTTGTATCTTCGTAGCCGCAGATGATGCCCTTTCTGCAGACAAGGATCAAAAGTCTTCAAAGCAGTCGTAGACCGCTTCTTCAGATTCGGATAGGCATGCATGTCCCTCAGATGATTTGGTAAATCAGCCCCCCCTTTTATCTTACCCATATTTTCTGAGCGCTTCTACTGGGGGCTAAGTTCGTTATCACGCAGATCTCGCCCCAAACTTTCCTTCACGTCACTTCGCGTCGCAATCAAGCCATTGCAGCAGCTGAGGACCGTTTCTCTCTCTCAACTACGTCCTTCCTCGGGCAGAGGTGCGACAAGAACATTCTCATGTTGGGGATCCTTCCTTGAGCGGACAACTTGTTTGAGTCTCTGCTTTGATGGCGTTTGGCCGTTGAGCCGCTCGTTCCACTCGGGGAGATCGAGTCATCCGACCAGGAATCAGCGAGACCGGAAACGGAAGAGTGGGGAAGGAGTAAAATGAGAAGAAAGAATAAGGGTGAGCGAACGGTAATCGAGGGACCTGGAACAAATAAATGACCAGAAAAGGCGTGTTCCGGAAGTAAGTGATCACTTACTTCATGAATGGCGAGTGAGCGAGGGTGAAGAGACCGATCGGAAGACAGGGGCGGCGACCTGATGAATTGGGGAAGTAGAGAATGAGGGACATGGAGCTACTGTATTTTACAGCTAGCGGTTCAATGGCACCGTGGGCCGGGTGACGTCTTTCTGGTGATGGCGGGAAGGCAATGGCGAAGGAGCATAAAAGATTCATTCAGCTGAACAGTTGAAGGATTTCCTCAGGTTGAGATTGCTTATGACGGCGTTATGTTGTCAGAGGCACAACAGAATTGGCTCTCCTTCTCCTAAGAAAATAATTCCTTGGTACTAACCCGCCTTCAAAACTAGGAAGGTGGATGGGAGGTTCAATGGCACAGCCGTCGTCTTGATGAAACAGAAAGCTGACAGGATCAGCTCTCTCTCAACTGATAAAGAGCTTTAAGCGAGAGCTTTGGAGGCCCTTCTTGACCGATGCGGAGCGCTGCAAAGCTGACTGCGACGCCCTGAACGCAATCTGCTGGGCAGTGGACGCTTTCGAGCGGGAGCTGATTCCAGATCCCGGTTGGTCCTGGCCGCAGAGGAGTCGTCGGAGTTTGGCACACGAGCGCCCGGCAATCCTTACGAAGAACAACATGACAGAAACGAAAAGCTGACGAACTTTGGATTTCACCTCCCTTGCCCCCCAATACCGTTGCCTGACATAGAGCGCCAGCTTTCGGACATTGTTGGTGGAGGGGCTGAGCCCAATAGCGCGGGCTTCCGAACCGTCAGCAAAAAGTGTCCTGAAACGTCAGTGGAATGAAGGGAGCGTTGGTGCAAGCGCCCGGGATGATGAGGGGGTGAAGCGGGGCGTTTTCAACCTTTTTGGGAGGCTTCAAGACGTCGAGAACCCTTTCAACAGGAACCTCCTTGCAAATATCTGCCAGGCAGCTCTCTCATGAGAGGGCACAAGAGAGCCACCCAGACGGACTTCGGGATATTCATGCGTCCTTGAGGTGGATTCGTAGCGAGTCAAGATGCAGGCTTTGAGCATGGCCAAAAAGGCAGAGAACGGAACCCACGTAAGACTCCGTCTCAACTGTCAAAGGTGGACACAATCGTGCTTTCTTACACAGTAAGAGAGCGTCCAAGGAAGAAGCTTTTCTGGCATAGATCGTCGCCCGTGCTTTGTCTCTTAAGACCACCCAGGCATGTGCTCTTTCTCATTAGCTTCAAGCCGGTGCCCAAATTAATTAATAATATGGTCGAAACTTGCTCAATACTTCCCCGAGCATGTGAAGAGAATCTTTCCTTCTCTTAATTCGCACCCAATCGGATATTCCTTCTCTTTTTTTGGCTTGAATTTCGTGCAAAATCCACTGGTGAACAAGGGGAGCAAACAGTAGGGAGGTCTCTCCGCATCTGAGACAACAAGCCACGCGTCGTGGCAGCTTTGGGTGCGCTTCTCACGTTCGTTACTCAGGGCGCTCCGTGACCAACCCTGCGACGTTCCGCCGCCACAGGGGAATCGAGGCAGGCCGGTCGGTCAAGAGCGCTGCGGTTACGAAGCGTAAACTTTGTATGAGAGCTCTACCCTAAGATACTAGATTCCAGAAGCCTGCGCAGGGTTTAAGGCCGGCGCATTCGCCTCGCCGGTCGCCTCGCCGGGGTTGCGCAGCTGTGCGTCATCAGAGCCGACGACGTTCCGAGGCCGCGCTCAGCTGAGCGGTCGGAGTTGCTGCCCTCGACATAACTTATAAATTCAATAATGCACAGAGAAGAGAACGAGCCTTGAAAGACATGTGTTGCATAATGCAGAAAGTGAGCTGCGTTAATTCCGGGAGCAGGATTTTCAATCAGAGACTGTGTCGACACAACGGCAAGCGCCTGCCGTCGCGTGCGTACGGTTGGAGCGAGCAACGGACAATGCTCGCGCACAGAGTAGTAATGGCCGCACGATGAGATTGCGACGGTCGAAAATGTTCGATGAACTCTCGAACCTTCAAACCCTAGCGCTGTCTGCGGCCGCCGTCGAGCGCCGCTGGCAGCTTATACAGTATAAATTTATACTACTGTAGCTGAGTAGCTGGTGACTCTAGGCCGATCGGTTCACAGGCACCGCAAAGTCTAACAATCAATCAGACAAAGCAGTCTTCATATACTTTGCATCGTTCAGTTTCTAAAAAATGAAACTGAGGTAACTTTAAGAATGGCCTGAGGGTAACTTTCAAACATAAATCTGCGTAAAGATATAATGAGGACAAGTATGGTTGTACGAAAATGTAGAGGAAAAACTTCCTGCATAATGGCTTAATGGCCCGGAAGAAAAGTAACAACATGTCACATCAAGTTGATTTGACAACTTCTTTCACGTGGTCTTGAGCAAAAACATCGGTTTAGCTCGAGGGGGTCGCCTTCGGCGACCCATCCCTGCCTTTGGCAAGGGATGGGTTCGCCTCTGGCGACCCCATCCCATGAAGTTTTTGCCGAGGAGGTCGGGGGGGTCAAGCTTTGGGGCCGATAGCCTTGTCAGATAGGTGCCCTTATCGACTCCCCTGGCTTGCAGAAAGCTTAAAGACTGCGCCGGTCGGGGCGACACAATCAAACCAGAGCGGCCGATGTTTGGTCTCTTTCGTGGTGGAGTGCTTCGACGTTCGTATTTGAAAAGAGCAAGCCATTAGAAAGAGTTAAACTCCTACACAGTGCATGCAGCTGGCAAGCTTTTCCTAAACTTCGGAAGCGTTCTAACGTCCCCGGGCGGGCGGGTCCAATACCTACCTACCCGGTCCCAGGTCCACCGTTGACGCCGCACGGGGTAGCCCTCCCAAGTTCCATACTTCTCTAGAATATGTTTAGTAAGCTCAAGGTTTAGTAAGAACGAGCTAACACTAAAAACCTAAACCCAAATAATCACTCGCTCCGCACCCGCACCCACCCTAACCACCATACTAACCCTACCCGTCCCAGTACTAAACATTGAGCTTACTAAACATATTCTAGAGAACGATCCAAGTTCCTACCTTGCCCTATAAGCGGGTGCGGCCCGGGGCCCGGGCCCCGAACATACAGGGAATTGGAATCCCTGCTGGGAGAACCGCACAATAGCCTGCTGCCGCCTTTCAAGTCGCGAAAGTTGAGTACTTAAGTTGCCTACGCCGGAGCGTCTTTCTCAAAACAAGCTCTCCACTTTGCAAAGCGCCAAAAGGGCCTCTCCTGTCAACTCCAGCGCGATGGCTCCCTCCAGCTCCGCCGCTCTTCTGGTCTTCTGCCTCACGGGCGTCCTCCTGCAGCAGCTCGTGGCTGGAGGTCCCAGTTCGCTGGCCTCAGGGATTGGAGGTGCACACACGGCCAACCGCTTTGCAAACACGGAGGGCTGTGATTTCGAAGAAACGAACGCTATCACTGGGACGCCCCAAGGAAACCTGCCAACTGGCAGCTACCTTTCTTACGTGCCCTGCCACCTGTTCGGCACCCCGCTTAAGGACTATGGGTTCCCTGGCTACATCTACGCATTCAATACACATTGCCTCTCGTGCCCCGTCGGGCAGGCGGGCTGCACGTGCGACTTCAGTTGCACAGACGCCGTTGAATTTGGCCTGAGCAACTTTTTCAACGGGGGATATACGTACTACACTCACATCAGCTGCCAATGCTCCAGCGACCCAACTCCTGGTGAGTCCTGAGCTAAGCATGCTGCTTTGCGTCATGACCCCGGCCTATGAAGCTCCTTATTGTGATGGACAACCTGAAGGCTCGACGTTGTGCCTGATCTATCCTTTTGTTTGAGCTCCAAATTTCGATCAGTTGCTTAGACTCCATGAGTCAATGCGGGGACGGCTCTGAATGAGTGGGCATCGAATGCTTCTTTAAAATCTCATAAATCTAGCGCTTTCTACAAACCAAGAGTCTGGTTTTTGCGCAGGCGCCTGCAGCGATCCTCACTTCGTCGGAGCCTATGGTGTCAACTATGACTTCCACGGTGTTCCTGGTGAGTACAATTGAGCTGGGCGGTGATGTAAGCTATCACTCTGCTCTTTTAGGGCAGACTGAGATTGAACCTGCCCTACAAGTTGCGTGTGTCTTTGATGTTGTGCGTGACTGGGAACATCAAGTTGCCAATGCACTAAGGCTATTTTGGCCACAGCGTCCACAATTTCCACTCCTGCAAGAAACGTTAGACCTTATACTTACTAGCCATCCATGTCTGCAAGCAACCTTTGAAAGCCGCCCTTCTACTTGTGGGACTCCAGAACATAGACTGAGTAAGCTTTCTCCAGGCTTGTTGCTCGCTGGTCTCGTCCACGTGCTGACCGGACTGCCCAAGGAAGGCTACAAACCAAGAGCTGGTCCTCAATTGAAACAACTGTTTGGCGCTTGCAGGAAGAGACTTCACTCTGATCACGGATAAGGACCTCAACGTGAATGCCCACTTCATCGGCCAGGACGGGACGGAGACAGGCTTTGACGGGACCTGGATGTCTGCACTCGGGGTCACGTGGACTCAGGAGGATGGCGTCATGCGCACCCTCACCATCTCCCTGACTAGCGAGGTGAGTGTTGAACTCTCTTGTTTTGCCAAAGAAGGCCATCACTTTTACATTAATGTGGTGTCCCCTAAACCTCAATGAAAGGTACTGTTGATGCAGAGGGTTCCTGATGTATAAAAGACAGACCTATGATAGCTATGCTTCAATAAGCATGCTTGCTTGATTTACATGAAATATGGGGCAAGTTGGACGCCTGCTCTTTCTGAGGTTTTCTGATCACCTTTCTGGGCTCAACGAACCAGGTCAGTGTTCGTGCCAAATGCTCCCGAAGTTCAAGGACTTCAAGTCAGACATCGCTCCAACCTGAAGGTCGATTGATAGGCTTTGGCAGCTTCTCTTCGTCATGTCCAGGCTACGAAGCCTTGGCTTCAGGACCTGTTGCGTGCAGACGCTGACTGCTTGAGTTGGTTTATTGACGCATAACTCCATTCAATTTCTATCTTACAGGTGGAGGATCAGGCTCGCACGAGCGAGGCTGCTTTTGTCGTGGAGGTTGACGACGTACCGGTCGAAGAGCCCACTACCATCCAGACTGCCGGTGGCACTTCTGACCACCTCCTTCACAATGACGAGGGGCTGACAATCACTCGCACCTTCGACGGCCGGAGCTTCACCCTCGACATCCATTCGCAAGGGACCTTGCACATCATGCTTGGACACCACAAGCACCCGGAGGGCAACCATCTGGACTTCTCGTTGGAGAACTTGAACGTGACAGGTGAGGGCTGATCTTTGATGCTATTGGACGGTCGAACCTGTTAAGTTTCATTGATCAATGGAAGTCGACAAAATGAGGATCTCCTTGAGACTTTGATCAGGAAAAGAAAGACCTTAATGAAGTTGTGTTGGTACCCACGGCAATTAAGAAAACCCTTTGTTCGACAATCTCTCGAGCAATAGAGCCGTCATTTGGGTAATGTACCATCTGATTGATTGTTGAACTCCCCCTTGCAGCAACCGTACATGGCGCGTTGGGCCAAACCTTCGCCGAGTCGCACCGTACCGCCATTCAGGAGGCCATGTCTTTCGTCGGCTCCGGCGAGCGTGTCGACCAAATTGACATCGTTGAAGGGAAGGACGCCGACTACATGACGTCATCTCTGCTGGCGACAGACGCCCGCTTCAACCATTACCAAGTTCCCAACGCCTTCTTGCCCATGACCGTAGCCCGCAAGATGCTAACGTTTGAGGACAGCTTTGGAGCTTCTAAGAAGATTATTGTTAACAAAATCACTTGCACTGGGCGCTTCTCGTGCAGCGCCATTGCCAGTGCCTTCTACTAAGACCGAAAGACCAAGGCGTCGAGGCCCTCTAAAGGATGGAAAGAGATTGGATTGGTCACAGTAGACTCGTGGTGTGTAATTATACTTAGCCTAGTCCTTCTATTGAAGAATTGTTGGAAGTAGAGGTCGGTTAGACGTCCAAATTGTTCGAGTTAGGACGTGGTTACTAGCTAGTGTAGCTAGGCTAGTTTCGACCGTACGATCTTGAGTTCTTACTCAGTGTGAGCCGTCGATCAGGGAGTTTTTACATAGGAGGGGTAGTTCGAGTTTAGCCGTTGGATGAGTACTTTGCACAGAGTGACGACCGTTGATTGTCGATGTTGCACAGTACAGAGGATAGAGGGTCAGAGGGCTGATTGTAGGCTCCTCTAGTATGGTTTGGACGTTTGTATTGTGATGGAAACTCATACTAAGGGATGCTTGTTGGGAGAAGAGCGCTTCCTTGTGTGAAGGCGCTTGTGTTGAGGGTGGTCAAGGCCACGTTGGTTTCAAGCATGTACTTATGATTTCAACAAGAATATCCGAGTCGATGTAAATTGAGGCAGCAACTAGAGGGTCTCAAATTGCATTCATACAATTTGGTAAAGGATATAGTAGTGTACATGGTAACCAAGTGAACGGATTGTGCGTGTACGGCCAGAACGATGCTATCAATGTAAGACACCCGATCTGGTAATAGTGACATGCCATGCAATTGATCAGCAGACACTGCCAGTCGGTTGGACGGCTGGAACGAATATCGAATCAATATATTGTGAGCGGTAGTAAGAAGCGGCGCCCTTGGGCAGCCTGCAGGTGCTTAAACAGGGGTCGGTTTAAGCCTCCCTCGTTTTTGGTTCCTATCTATGCAATGTCCCATGTCTGAAGCTTTATTGTCAATGCGCATGAGCGAGGAGACGGCTTCGGTTGCCTGACGTTTTGGCATTTGGGCGAAGACTAGTAGCCAGTTGTTTAGAGTCCATAATCCGCACTACGCACATGCCGCGCGTGTAGAGCAATAAATTTCATTCGCGGCTCAAGAGGATGCCACGATGCGTCTGAACTAAAAAGCGATGTAAACTAGAACTCTCAGCTAGGCCTTGCAAGACTCGCAAGGGATCCCTTGCGCCAAGAAAATCCTACTAAGGGCTGCGCCCACAGATACCTGAGCCTTCAAGCCTTTATTATGCCTTTAGGGGATTCATCATAGCGGGCACTGATCATACAGTGAGGGGTACAGCGATTGACCCTAATTCAATCGTGAGGCTTCAATAACCAACCCGGGGGCGCGCATTGTCTCTCTAATACCCTGCGCGCGGCCCTTACTGGCCGCTCCCACAATCATGCGCGCGGCCGTGGGCGGGCGGCCTCTGCGCGCACACTAGCTAGTGTCGAGGTTTCGAGGGGTTTTGGTCCCGGACTCACAATCAATAATCTACCGGTACATTCCGCGGCGTTTGGCCGTGGGTTGGCCGTATGCCGCCGCTTATGGTACGTGAGCGCGCAGCCGCGCGCGAACAAGCTCCCACTTTCAGTTGATTCAACGATTGAACTGAATAGGGGGAAGCCGTATGCATCTAATAGGCTCGGGCCCCAGACAATTGCCACCCCTAAACAGCACGGCATCCGTCGAGAACCAAAATTGCTGGCATGAATTAGTTGATGCCTTAATTTCTATGATGATGTATTGCGCCAGCGGCTCGGCGCCATGTAGGCGCACGCACACTGAGCAGCCCATTACTTCTCGCCCTTTACTAGCTCAACTGCTCGATCAACCGTGTCCGTGACATGCCAATGATTCAATCAAACTTCTGAATGAACGTACGTGGAGCACAGGTTCTGAAGTCAGAAAGCTATAACACAGATTGATGAGAGCAACACACGAGCATGTGAGCGGACGTGCCGCACATGCACCATGACGGTCGGATCATGTCAATTATTATCCGACACTTCCGATATACTGATTCTGGCACTGAGTGCCGCGGAAGGAACTTCACTTTGGTAGCACTGAATCATCAACCGCGCGCGGGACTATAGCTAGTCCGACGGGCTTAGACCGGCATGCCAATTACCGGTGAACACGGGAACGCGTTGGACGGTGTCGGGCCACTAGTCCTTGCTCAGGCGGCGGCTAACGTAGTCGGTCATAAATTGGATCATGCATAGTGCACGTTAACAACAGGCTCCACTTGAACACCATGCAGTGAGAGTGTGTGCTTGAAGTTGTTTCCTTCTTTCATGGCAAAGGGCCCTAAAAAGGGCCGTAGTAAGTCGATGCTTGAGCCTTCAATGGGGCCAGCGAGGCAAAGAACCAGACTTCCCAGCCACCTACTAGGCTACCGTATGGGCCAGGGGAATCCACCGGTTGCAAAAGCCGCCTTGGTAGATGTTGCAATTGCTGCTACCTGTCAACAGTGACGTCATCGTCAACAAGTTACGCATGAGCATTGCCAGCCGGCAGATTCTGTGACCACCAAGACACTTATGAACGGCGGCGCATCTTTATCTTGGTGACAGCAACCGCTTAGCTCGTCTTCTAGGCCCATGGGCTGTACGCCTACAATATATCAAGAATTAAGCAGGTCGGTGGAGCCCTGCTAGATTGAAGGACGTTGCGGTAGTAAGCTTGCCAAGTTGCGTTCAGTTTGAAGCGCTACGCACTCCAATCAGTCCCGCATATTGTGCAGTGCATTTGTATATTTCCCTGTGAATGAACAAGTCTGACTAGGAGTAGGCTAGGTTCTGGTAAAAGTTACAGAATACGATGTGAACTGTCACTGTCCTACGTCTTTGTAGTAATCCCTTTAATATCTTATTGGTACAAATTTCAAGTTTTTCTTGCCAAGGCACAGTCCTAGGTTTCTTTCTGTCTTGATGAGGCGCGCTTAACCAGATTGCAAACAGTATACCCACCGGGGTCATTGACCGTAAATACTACATGCAGTGTGCGCTCTCGAACTTCAAGCATCCATGCTTTCCGGTTACTTGTAATGGTACTCAGATTAGCTGTTTCTCAGTCCCGAACCTCGCTGTTAACAGTTGCTGTTATCCCGTACTATGATCCATCAGTCGGCGTCTTCAGTCATCATGAGAGAACCACTTTCAAACGATCCCACTATAACCTTCAAACTGCTTCTTGCTTTGCTGCGGATTCAGTCCAGGGGGCCAATATCATTACTAATTGCTCTATTACTACTATATTCCAGTGCGTCGTTCTCTGATTTCAGTCTGTAGTGTCACAACAATTGGTTCAGGATCGGGATGTACTCAATCACTGGCTTTCTCCTCCTGTGCACGCATTGCATATTACCTGGGCAGTGCGGATACGTGGGCTTGAGGATTTCAGCGTGATTACCAACTGAGAAATAGGTGGAATCAGTTCTGCCTCACGTGCCTCCATCAAGGCTTGGAGTTGAAGGACACAGCTCCAAATTCATACCAATTGCAGAATCAACAACCATGGACCACCGCAAAAGCCGACAGACTCCGGTTGTGCGACGTTCTAAAAGGAATTGTAGGATTGCAGCGGGCGCCAAAAAAGTTGTTCCAAGAACGCTTCAGCAACTCAACGCCCGAACAAAAGATGCACTTTGTCAACAATGCGGAAGAAGCAGCTTCGACGGTGAGAATACAGTGCCAATAGGCCCTGACATTGGTTTCTTTTATGCGAAACGCACACAATCGTCCACAGCAACTACAGCAAAGCGTCCTGTGTAACGGTACGGAAGCCGACC